GAGATAGGGAGAGAGAGAGAGAGAGAGAGAGAGAGAGAGAGAGAGAGAGAGAGAGAGAGATAGAGAGAGAGAGAGAGAGAGTAGTGAGCAGGAAATAGAAGGAAAGGATGGAAGTCAAGAGCTTTAGGCCATGATATAAGAATATTTTCAATATATTTGGAACTAATAATCAATTATAGAGGAATTTGCCAGAAGAAGTGAGACTGAAGTAGAATAGAAAACCAAAAACCGAAAATATTAGTGAATGATAGAATGTAAATTTGTCAAAAACGTAAAGCGTTGAGTCAATCGCCTTTCATCGCCTCAGGGGACGACCAATTGCTAATATGCGCAAGAAGACGGAAAGCGCATTGATTGAGGCACAGTCTCAGGCATAACGAAAGCTTTATAGAACCCACACAAACAATTATTAAGTAACATTATGGAGCTTAGAAAGTTTGAAAATTAAGAAAGAAGAGAGGAAAGCATGCAGAATCGTAACAATGTGAAAATGTCAGAATCAGCTTGCAATCCAATTTTCCAATTTTGACAGAGAAGCAAGATTTGAATAAACAAAAAAATAAAAGTAATTTTCTCAGATATTGTTCAACTAACTATCTACTAGGCTATATATATATATATAAATATATATAAATACATATATGAATTAACTCGCGACTGTTACAACAGCTATAATTTATCGATTCGTATTATTCTTTCTCTCTGATTAAGGATCCATCTATTTATGCAGAACACATGAATAAACGACTTTTCTACTTGAAAAACGATAAGAAAATACAATTTCCTGGAAACCTTCTCAAGTTAGGAAATTGTTTGGGACAATTTGCTTCAATAGACTACACAGGCTAGTAAGGTCCCTAGGGTAGCGCGGTGAGAGTAGTCGGTCGCTATGGCATTCTTTCTTCCTCTTCCTACACTTTTCCTATTTTGGCTTTTTATCTTCTGCTTCGTCGCCTCTTTCTCCCTCTCTCTCTCTTCCCCATCCTCTTTCATTCAGTGTTCGTATCTCTTAATCTTTGAAATATACAACTATAGAGAAACGATTTGATACTAAGAAGGATGACCTGAAGGCATAATCTCAATCAGCGAAATTGGAAAAAAGAAAATAGATAATTTAGAATATCTGGAGTGGCTCAATTACAGATTTATAATTATATTGAATTATAGAAGGAGTATTGTTGCAGTGTTCTAATTGAAAGATTCCTCTCAAACTCTGAAATGCCAAGAACTTCTGCCACACATTTCTATAATTATGGAATAGAAGGTGCAAACATGGGAACTCAACCAAGAGCTGACCGAAATTTTGAGTAAAGCAAAGGTAGACGATCCAATAACAATTTTTTTGCATACAACTATTCGAATTTGTTTATCTTACTCTGCAAATGATTGAAAGGGGGGGAGAACACGCGACGCTCTTCCATTTTTTTAATCTTACAAACGGTCTATGATAGAGAACAGGGCAAAATTCTAGCGCATAAAACAAAAAATATTGCATTGACAGGCTGCATATCCTACCAAAGAGAGAAACAGGCCAAGCAACATAACTGAGGAGAGCAAGGAAAAAGCCGTTTATGGGACAAACCAAGTGTAATTTGCCTCAATTTGCGAGACAGCGATGGCCCAATCAGACTAAGAGCGCATGGACAGCTAAGATGGAAGTGCTAGAAAGGGAATGAAAGGAGCAAGTGAAAGCGTTCGAGAAGCTATAAACCTAAATATTATGAAACGTCAAAAAATCCATTTCCACTCAAGCATGATGTAAATGAAGTTTATGGAGTCTAAAATTGCTTGATGATAGCCAGGAACGAAAAAAACTAAAAGGCTAATAAAAGTAAATGAGAGTGTTCAGTGAGATGGTCGTAAAGCACTGATAACTGAAAGAGTTATAGAATAACACATATTTTCTTTAAATTAGCATGACGCCATAGAACAATTTACGTGTACGTGAAAAATTGAAAGTTATTCATTCAAGAAGACGTATGCGCACAGACCGGTTGATTGAAAGATATCTTTCAGAAAAAGAAACAATAGTGCACGTGAAGAGAAATTAGTGATTATTCAAAATATATAACAGTCTTTCGATTATTCGAAGATTACTCTTTAGAATGAACATTTTACTTTCGAAGCCGTGAGAAGTGTCAGCTGAAGAAGAATAATCCTAGAACGAGGAGCAACTGAAAATGGGGTCAGAACTGTCAATAAGAGCGTCCTTTCTGCTGTTGGATTCTTCATGCTCTTGAGCACCATAATAGATTGATGGAAAGAAGAAGAGAGGAGAGAAATGAGAGAGAGAGGGAGAGAAGAAGAGAAAAAGTGAGAGAAAAGAGGGTGAAGTAGATTGTTCATAGAGAGCAATGCTGAAGTAAAAGCTAGATGAGGGCATGGCAACAATGCTTTCTGCATAACTCAGACACTAATTAGCTTCCTCATTTGTTAGCAGGATCGGATTTCCTCGACAAAAAGATCCGTTAATTTTATATTGACGCACTACCAAGAAAACAGCATTCCATTGGAGATTTGACATTTACTCATGTTTGTTTTTCAAAACATCTAGCAAGTTCAAGAAGAAGAGAATACGATGACACAAATAGCTGAGCCTAGTTGAATTTCGAGTTGGGGGCTCGACACGTTCAAGAAAAAAGTAAAAGTTTACCTCCGTGAAATCGGTCATCCTTGTTGACAATCGTCAGGTTATAGGCTGTTTGAGAACTTCGACACAGGCAGAAATTCTAAATGAACAAAACACGACCGGATTGCTGTTCTCTATGACTCTCCTACCATTTTCTTCCTTCCATCTCTTACCCATCAGTTATATTTCTCAATTTATCTGACATTCACTGATAACCATTTTAGGCAGTCCGTTAGATCATTACGCCTTATGCGATTTCTGCGAAATGTTTACACCACGTGTCCATTTCAACGAAAACCTTTGGCAACGTAATGATGACCTGATAATTTTCTATCAGATAAGCTCATGGTAATGAGGTATTTGTTTTATTCGAACTCCCTCTCTTGTTCTTTATCTGGATCAGATGATTGGATAAGCAATCACAACTATCACGTTTGTATATTTACGGTAACAACCAGATCCAAAGATTGAACACTATAACCCGAGAGAAACTGAGCCATTTCATTTAAAAAGGTAAGCTTCAACAATGAGAAAACACAAAAAGAATGTTATCCATATAACAAAGAAAACCTTAAACTATAGAAAATCAAGCGAACTCTTGCTCGTTGATATACATCGAGAAGAATCATTGAAACACCAATACTTTAACCAAAGAAAAACAAAATTCAACAACGCCATGAGTTCGCCCGCGTTGCCATCTATTCCCGTGAAAAACCGGACATATTTAAAGATTTCACAAAAAAATTCAAATAACGGATGACAACGCGGGCAATAACCGCATCGCATAACACATGGCTTAAGAGGGGAAACTAACAAACGCTTAGAATCTTTTCTGTGATTCACGCTCACGTCGTCGTTGAGAGTTTGCATTGTTTTGAGAACCCCAGGCTCCGGTTCCTCCGCGCTTTCCTTCAGCCTGGAATCCGCCTGTTCCTTTTTGTTTATCTCCTTGTCTGTCAGTTCTCCCGGTAAACCAGGCTCCAGGTCCAGCATAGCCAGCTCTCCCAGTTCTAGGTTCCAAAATCTAGAAACATGATAAATGCATGAGCGAACTGTCAAATGTTATTACTTGTTCATTATTTTCAGCCAAAACTTGAAGCTTGTCAGTAAGATTGAGAGCCAGCATTTGTAGTCTGCTAGGTTCAACACGGTGCATAATCAGGCAATCTGTAGGCTCATCGAGAGTGGCAGAGAGTTCTTCTTGAATGATCATTTTGCTAAACATGAATTTATTTCTTGTTTCCAAATTATATTCTTCTCACCTGATAATACTATGAACTTGCTTCTTATCCATCTCAAAGAGAATAGAAAGTTTCTCCAAAGAAACGGTAGTGTATACAGTCGAGTACATCAATAAGTAAGTTCTAAAAAACATAGTAACGTCTATAATAATGCTGTAAATACCTTAAAGTTTCTTCTTGAATTCTGACTACTACCATTGATTTCACATGTTCAGCATTACGGAATAAGTTCCACACCTTAAACTCTTCAGAGTTAGACACGAAAACTGTATTCACTGACCTTTTGGTTCATTTTTTCATTGACAATGTAATCCCTACATTTCTTCCAGTCTCCAGCAAGCATGGCGCGAGAAGCAGCAACAACATGCTCTCTTGTCATTTCAGGAGGTCCGATGAGGGAAGCCTGAATTAAATTAAACTGTTCAGCAGAATATCTCGTATAGACATACCTTTTCACTTTGTTTGAGCTGATAGTGGAAACTGCGACTAAGAAGACGACGTCTCATCTCAAACTCATAGCTAGCCATATGGGGTATCTCGAGAAGCATGGAACAAATCAAATAAACACATTCCATTAACTCAACGTTAATATGCATGTGATATGGAACCTGACGTTGACGCTCAACTTTTTCCTGAAACAGACTGCGTGGAAAGGAAAAGCTAGTTGTTAAGCACCTGTTCAGCTGTTTTTTCATGCTGACGCATTGTAACGGCTTGAGCCAAGAGTTCCTTTGCGCGCTGAGTATTTTGAATTTCAGCAAGACCCTGGTGAGCTTCTTTAATGAAGCCGTGACGGAAAGCACAAAGTCCTAGTTGGCAAATAGTTCTGTTGTACAAAATCTGAACACAATAACTTTAAACACTATTTAATACTATGATCTACCTGAGTGTCAGTATCAGAATGATCAACAATGGCTTGTAAATGACTCATAAGCATCATGTCTCTCGCTCTGTGCCAATCGTCATGAAGTGCGAGGAAGTATATATGGCAAAGCATAGCCCTTTGTCTCAATCGCTTCTCGTCATCAAGTTGATAAATCTTTTTGCATAAGCGATCCATAACAGTGGATACAGGCTCTTCGCCCTCCTTAGCTTCATGATACTAAAACAGACATGTCGGGTTTAAAGAAAGAGCAAAAGTAGATCTCACTTTATAGTATAAATGTTCGATTTGCATCATGTATACTTTGCAGATCTCATCAACATCAAAGATTCCTAAATCGAATCGTTCTTCAACGTAGCGCAGAGTTCTATCGATGAGATCGCACATTTCCTTTTCACCCTTCAGCCTGGAAGTATACTATTCTGAGAAAACGAAACTTCAATAGAGATACTTTTCAATATAGTCATTAGAGTGACAATCAGCGTTCTGGAGAATCTTTGTAAGTTCGTTATCTAGTCGTTGAACGGTCATCAAGAAAGATCCTTGCACTTTGTAGGGTTCCTCTTCGTTCTAAAGAAGAAATCTTATCATAAACCATCTGCATGTGAAACATGCCTTTAGGTTTTCTTCTTCTTCTGTGAATCTTATCGATAACTTGACGTTGGGGTTAGCAATCAACATATCCAACAAGCTGTTGACAGCAGTCATGGTTCTAAAAACATTCTTATTAAAAGTGGAACAAATAGAAATAAAACTACCTCGTGAAGTTAGCGAAGTCCATGAAATCGCTGATTTTAGTGTTAAGCTCGAACAGTGAAGATATGATGTTGAACAAAAGCTTGACCAAGATACCAACTCCTAATTTCTTCTACAAAACTACTTTGATCAGTACGGATTTTGAAAAATAACTGACATCTTCAGCAATTTGGTATAAGTCTTGCAAAACGCGAACGTGTTGCTTTCTATTAGTTCCCATTCTTCCACGAGAGGACATAACCTCCTCGATCTTACTGATCATAGCCTCATGAGTAACTTCGCTTTTAGGGTCAAAAAGTTGCACAGGCTTCTCTTTTGTGATTGGAGTCCATTCACCTTCTTCATCGTCATCTTCTTCAACAAGATCCAAAGTCTAAACAATTTTTCCGATGAATCTACAATATCGCAAGCTAAGTTGAACCTTGACATCACGCATTTTCTCATATCGCTTCTTTCTTCTTTCAGTCTTTTGTTCGTCTTTACCTCCAACATCCCCACGGAACTCTTTCCTGGAAAAAGTAAAAGCTATTGTGACTGTATGAACTGCGTTACTTCAAGAAATAACGGCGGAGATCCTCCATAGCACTGTTGTCGAATTCCATATCAGAATCAGATGAGAGAGGTTCAGAATCTGTAGACCAGTCTCCATCGTTATCAGAATCAGCGGACTGAAGGAAAAAAATTTAGAATAATTATATATTTTGAACTTACATCATCGAAACGTTTCTTCGCTTTGTCAGCGGACTTTGAACTAGCCTTAGCAGGTTCCTCAGTCTCTTCCGCATCAAGAGCCTTAATCAGTAAAACGTTTTAAGAACCAATTTGAGAAACTATACCTCCTCTTCTTCTTCTGGACTTTCATACCCAACAGGGTCGGGATTGTTCCTGTATTCTGTTACTTTGTCTACTCCTTCAATATCTTTCAAATATCTACGAAGTTTTTGACGTAAGTCTTTTAATGCTTTCGCATTACTTTTGGAGAAACCCTAATGAACAACATATAATAAACAACAAAACAAGCAAGCACTCACAGACTTGGCTTCTTTATCATCCCAAAGAGTATTGATATAATCTTCCAACTCAACAAGACAACTATAGAGGAAAATGAAAAAAATGAAAAAATAATTTCAAACTCACCGAATGAAAAAGCGAGGGTAGCTAATATTCTGACGAGCAAAAACTGTCTTGGATCGGTCATAGGCTTTCACCAAATCATCAAAGCCTGAAACCCTTAGTTTCCAATAATGTTTTTATGAAATAGCATACATGATAAGCATTTTATAATATTTTTGTTGTACTTTCCAGTACGCATATCCTTAATAATATCCTTCAGTTCTTCAAATTTCTTATCTTTATGTGCACGAACGACACGCTTTTCCTCATCTTCACTGTCGCTGGGCAAACTGAACAAGTTTGCGCTAAAATTATGTTTTAATTTTTAGAGTTCGTTTTTGCATATTCTTACGCAGCGGTGAGTTTTTTGGTCTGTACCTCCTGAACCTCGTCTTCACTCGATTCTGTATCTGACGAGTCAGAGCTATTCGCTTGGAAAAACTTCGACATGATTGCCCTGTTGAGTTTCTATAAAAGAAATGGAATATGACGTGTTTTTCATAATCTATATCAGCTAATGAACCGATTTGCATACAAATTAAGGCTATTATCAACGAAAAAAAGTATCAAAACCATTAGAAACGGAAATAGCTTTCAATGTAACTGCATCATTCAAGGGCGCTAACAAAATAATTCTTCGTGGCGGGACCAATTTAAAAGTTTAACCGATTTAAAGTGGAAAATACAGGAATATTCATAATATAAAACCAATATAGTTAACTCTATTTTATTATGTGAGAATATGTACCTAATCTGAAAGACAATCAAAATTTTGTGAAACTTTCTAAATTAGTATATAAACCTATGCTCATAAAAAGCCAACCAATGATAAATAGAGTTAAGTTTGAGAGAACAATGTAAGCTGTTTCTAAAATGTTAGTAGAATATGGCAGAAAGACAATTGTGTGAATGATCGATGGTAGAATGAAAGACAACATCATTCCTGAAGTGATTCCCACGAAGGGTATAATGTCCTGTAAGTTGGGTATGGCTATAGCCAAAGCTACTGAAAGGAAATGTCTTAAAGTGAAACTGCTCCAAACTCACAAGCTACCAAAGAGATAAGCAAACGAATAAGAATTTTGAGAGCTTTACATAACTTCGGACTGTTTCGTGAATAGTTCTTTTTGATAGGACCATGTATCATTTGAACAACTACAAAAATTTGAAGAGCAGATCCCAAGAAAACTTTTGTAACCAAAAGTAATTTTACAACTGTTGACATTCTAGAAATTTCAAACATTATTCAGTTAAGTAATTAGTCTCGAACAAGTTGATAGGGAGATTCAGAGTCAAACTACCAGCTACGTTCGGACCGAACGTTAAATATCCAAAAAATCCGATGAAAGAATAAATAATTATAATGAAATTCATCGACGTCGTCAGTACTCCAGTTAGTCCCAGCATGTCTCGTGGATATTTCAACTTGTTTTCCAAAGGTAGAACCTTAATAAAGGCAATATGAACTCTCAATTCCATTATACCATTGCTTGTCCTTCGAAAGAGTAAATGAGTCCTCCTGCAGCTAGTACTATTCCTTTCATGTTTGTAATAGGGGGTAGTGAATATGACAAGTAATGGGAGTGAAACAGCAACTCCTTCAGGAAAAAAAATTTTATCCCCCAAAATATCGAGCAAACTCACCTTTGAAATAAAAGAGATTGCCAAAAATATCGTAAGATTACCAAACAAGGAAAATAGTGTTATGTAACGAATGTTTCCGATCAGATTGATACATAGCTGTGGCAGAAAGTACAGTAGAATTATCGACTTCGTGGATATGATCAAAGAACTGTCAGAGAAATAATCGAAAATCTGAAAGGAACATCTCTACTTCAGACTTTCGTTGGCATTTCAGACTTCAACTATATGTTCTGCGGCGAATACCAACGAAATTGATAGAACCCCCAGTTGAAAACAGAACACACAGCTGTTCACAAGAACTCTGAAGGGTCCACTTGAGATCAGAAACAAAGCTTGTATTAACTGTGCGGTAAGAGAATATTTTCTAAGGAACTTATAACTATTTTTACAGGACTCCTTTGCCATTTGACCATAATCTAAGCTTTGATCACCAATTCTGAACAGTAACCTTCTCAGAATAATTTCGTTTCAATGCCTAACTTCTCTGCTAAATGCTGCGAGCATTCAATTATCTTATACATAGATAAAATGCTTAACAAGCCCATTGTTATCATAAGGATAAGCCCAGCCTTATAACTCATATCATTTGAACTTTCTAGAAAGAGATGTATACCCAAAGACCTGCTTGTTGAAATGACATAGCGACCGAGAAACAACCAGGGCCCATCATCCCACAAATGAAATTTATTAAATTCGATGTTGCTCTAAGGATAATTGGAAGTTAAAATAGTTCAAATCAAACTCACGAAATTCCATTGTCTCTTCTAATCAGAGGCTTTCTCGTTTTTTTCTCATCAGACACAATCATTCTGGCTATCGTATAAAATAAAAAGAGGAAGAGAACACTATCTTATCGAACAAACTATTGACTTTACGAATAACTCTCAAGAAAAATACAAAATAATAAAAGATTTTGGTTTTTTGTGATACTTATTCGTCGATCAATCAGCAAACGAGTCATATTAGAAACAATGTAGAAATGATTTGTTTATCTAAAGTCTCTGACCAAAATACATTTGATGCAACAACTATAAGTACAACCGTTCTTTATCTATTCCAGATATCGAATGGTTTGCATGCACGTCTGTTACACGTGCATTTCTCGTGTCTTTTATGTTAATTTTGAATGTTGAAATCGCCAGCTACAGATTTGATCTGGAGATATATCAGAAGTCTTCATTGTGTTGTGTGAATTGGAAACGAAGTTGAAAAAAAAACTTTTATCGTTCAATTTTGATCAGAACATAGATAAAACATCTTTAACATCTCTTACATATCCTAGAATTACAACGTTATTTAAAAAATACAAATTACGAATAATAACGAGAATGATAAAGATAAAATCCAGAATCAGACACCGGTATTAGCGCACCTTGTAGATAGTTCTCAAACTTTTAGTTAATTTTCTCATTTATCTATCTAATATGGTAGCTTAAAGATCGAATCGGTTATTAGACCACGAATTTAGGCAGGATAAGGGCTTACTTAAACAAGCTTAGACTTACAGCAGCATCATTAGCTTTGAAAACGAAATGCTGTTCAAAAACAGTAGCATCAAGAGCTATAATTGTTTGGCCTGATTAAAAGAAGTGTTAACCGGATTGAGCAATTTCATGAACGGGGATGGTTGGATGATGATGACAACAACAGAGCTAGCTTTTGACTAAATCACTCACTCATAAGAGGAAATGGTGTAAGAAATATGAAACGAATATTAATTACTCGGATGAGTTAATTAGAACGCTCTGTACAAAAATGACTATGTATATACAAATGTATGGAGAGAAAATTCGCAAGGCACTTGGCAAAATGATCAACAAGTCGCATCACAGGTCACATTGAAATTTTTTGGAGTTTTTGGCAAACTGACTAACCGGGCATATAGAAGAGCTTAAGGCGCTTTGTAACATGCACTGCAAAACCTAACAAGAACCTATAGAAAGCTAGTACTTACAGGTATTTTCTGATATTGATTGATTTTTTTTTGTATTCTTTTTGATTTTGTTAGTATTTACACATGTATTGAAGTACATGTGGAAGTAGGAAAATGCAAAAAGAAAAGGAAGGAAACGATAAACTAAATACAACCGGATTCTTCGAGAATATGAAGAAACCGGATAACCGGGCAATGACCATAGTAAGATAATAGAGATACATCTGGTCTATACACAGATAACAAAAATTCTAATATTCTGACATGTTTAGCTATAAAACATCTAATCCGGCAGCAGAAGATCAGTAAAGTATGGAAAGTGGGGGAATTGTCACTCAGCTCAATTACTTCTTTCCAACAAAGCATCTTTCGCTGATGTTAAATGATTTTGTCCAAGAATGTCATAAACAGATTCTGTCTTCTCCATACGGTCCAATACTGGTAGCAAATCAAGAAGTTCAACATCTGTTGGATCATCAAACCATGTTTGAACAGGAATCTGGAAGTGTTCATTAGCAATGCCGAGTAGAGCTTAAGAATTTGTCATCTGTTTCCTCCCACTCTCTCTCTCTCTCTCTCTCTCTCTCTCTTTCATCAGTTGCACTTGAGAAGGAACACGAAAACCAGTAAAAGGAACGAGATAATAACTTGGTCTGTTCAATAATGTAATCGATATATTTGACATATTTTCAACTAATCTTTTTTTGATGTCAAAACTTACTGCGTTGTTTGGATGGAAAGCATAACTTGCTGGAGAGTTGTCAATGATCATGACTTTGTTTAGATCACGTCCTAAACGGCCGAGATCCTGAAAAAAGACTAAATCAGAAAACGTTATGACGTCATCTACATACCTTCACATAATTTCCTTTATGGAATACGCAGGCTTCTCGGAATAAACGCGAACGGAACACTCCTCGTTTATCCAAGAGATCCGCAACTGGGTCGGCGTACTGGAAAAACATTAATACAATGTAAGGAATTTTGTTTTGTTTCTTCCCAAATTCTTAATAGATGATCAAGAAACATTATTATTTACCTTTGCTAAACTGGCAGTAAATAGAACACATTCATATTTTTCCCCTACGCGAGCCAAGAATTCATCCACATATGGCCTTTTCAGTACATAAACTTTATGCTCTATCCCATCAATCTCTACAGGAATAACGAAATCCGCGGTTTTGACAGGCTGCAACGATTAACATGAACAGGCCGAATGGTAAAATTAAAAAACCTTGAATGACGAATGAACCAATGTTTCATCGAGGTCGATGATCAAACACTTTTTGTTGGAATCAGCTGGCCGAACCGGCGGCAGAAGGAAGTTGTCGAATGTCTGCAAAAATCGAAATTACGAACACTTATCAAAACAAATAACACAAATTGCTTCATTTTCATGCAAACTGACTATATTTCCTGATGAAATTACCTTTTTCTTATGTTTATTACCCAATAAGCGCTTTTTGATAATTTCATCAGCAGTGGGCGTTCGACCCGGACGCAAATCTATGCGTTCAATATAAACAGAGGGATCGTCATCAGAGTCATCTGATTGTGCCCAGATGCTAGTGGATGCGCTGGGTGTCGTCTTGACCCTAGGTTGACGATGAAGCTCAAACTGTTCAAGGAATGTTGAGGTGGAATGTGGCGCTGTACAGAGAACACGCATTGCCAATGAGATACTATAGAAATATGATGTTTTAAACAGCTTCTAGACAAAGAAAAGATATCAAACGATAGAACAGAATAATAGAAAAGCTTCCAACAAAGACAGTACATGGAACATTCGTGGAATTAAACAAATATTATATGCTATTTCTGCTGCGCGAATAATGAGCAAAGCAATTTGAAGGTTCTAACAGCTGCGAGAGCGATCAGAGAGCGCAATGCGATTTTTCGCGTTCCAAGCTTCATTCATATGCGGCAATAATATGAGAACAGAATGAAAAAAATGAAAAAACATTCGAAAAAAAAGTGTTGAAAATCAGCCTTTGACAGCTACTTGCGTCATAAAAGGGCCATAATATAAATGATATTGCTAGTGTAATTCATTGAAGTTTTCAAGTTCGCATGAATCATAGATGGTTCTTTTAGTGAACTGGGGACAAATTTTTTTAAATTTAGACAGGTGGGTTGGAGAGGAAGCGAAAAACTTAGAAGATGCTGAGTTTGAAAGCTCACAAAGGATGGGGCTGTTATCGAGATGCAAGATCATTCTCCTCTTTTTCCACCCCCACTACGTATGCAGCTATAAGAGACAGATGGAACCTGTTCAGCTCTTCGTTTTCTGTTTCAACATCTCTTTTTCTCTGGATCTAGTGGAGGCCCACTCTATATTATCCTTCTCTCACTTTAGTGCATGCTATATCGTTTGTCGTTCACGACTTAAAGAATGAAAAACTACTTGACAATAGGAATTATTCTTACTTCATTGAAATAGTTAATATCTTTCGTGACACCTTCGTGTTCTATCTGATTATTGGAATCACCAATATGTTTCAGCTTAGAATTCAAAAAAGGCCAACGGAGTTGCTGACTGAGCCAATTGCGTACCATCGTTGAATTGCAGTTGTAGAGGCAATTGATGGTCTCCTATCAAACTGTTAACGTTTGGTATGAGAGGGAGGAGCGATAGCCACCAGCTTAGTGTTTTGACCGTAAAAATTCAATGAGACCGACATATTCGGTGACCATTCGATAAATAGCCGATAGGACGCACTCCTTCGAACACTGATAGAGGTGCACCGAATCTTTGATAATAAATAAAATCGACTAATATAGCAGATTCTTTGCACTTATAAGGAGTTGTCTGCCCACAGCTCAAAAGTGTTTTTTAAAATTCAATAATAGAAGTGACGAGGAAGTATTCATATCAATAAAAAGATGAGGAAAAATATGCATGGAGTACACATTGAATATGAAGATGAAAGTCAAACATCTGAAGGACATAAAGGATTTTTATTTTATACTTTAATAAAAAAATAAAAATGTGCATCATGTGTTCTCATGTCATTCTGTTCAAGTCAACAAAAAAACAGTCTATTGATCAAATAAGAAACAAAGAAAATTTGAGAATGATGTCATTGCTGACTGCTATGACAATCTACAAAAACAGTTTGATAATTACTCAAATAGAAAGAAACAGCGAAATTCAAGCTTTTGAATATAGCAGTGAGAGAAGTCTTAAGTGAATTTTCTTCAAAATTTCGAATATAGTATTACGTTAGAAATGTTTGAGAGACAGGCGGCAAGATAAGTTTTTATCGCGAATGGTGAAAGCATGCTCACAATTACCTTCGGACAGCACAAATGCTTCTCAACTTATGCTGGTACTCAAAACTTAGATATGTTGTTGAGTTTTCGAAAGTGGATGATAAGCAAAACGAAAATACTCAGTGACAGCAATTTCAGAAAAGGAAAAATCAATTAAGAGGAACTCGTGTGCTATGTTGAGTACTGGAAATTATCGAAACATTCTCAATTCTAATGAGAAGCTTTGGAGCTGAAATCGATTTCTCTGAGCGCACCATGGAAAGCAAGTCTTATTAGGACAGCGAAATTCACATTCACATAAAATGCATGTTTGTTTAGCGGGTATTGAAGATGAACATATTTCTCACAAAGAAAGAAAACGAAAAAATATCAGAAATAGGAAATAACTTCCTCACAAAACGAAGAAAACTGAGATAAAACTGCGAGGAAGACAGGTGTGTCTATTTCAAATCACAGTATGCGCTTTCGGAATTTGCAACAACTGTTCGATGATGCTGAGGATATTGAGCTCCTTGAGGTGCACTTGGACTCAAAGGTAGATTAGGAAGACTCAATTTCTCCATTGAAAAAGTGAAACGTTTAAAATATTTAGAACACCATAGAGTATATTCAGCCCGAAGAAATTAAAAAGAACTACTTTTCATGTGAAGGCGACAGTTTGCTCGAGGGTGTAAAGGTTAAATACACTAGTATTTGCTTGAGGCACTGTTGAAACTACCGTTCGTTTTATTTGAACGAAGTCATTTGTTTGCCACTTACCTCAAAGTTTGAATCTTCAAGAAAAAAAGTGAAAAGAAGCAATTTGTTCAAGATGGAAACGAAACTAACTTTGTTCGGTCCTTTTGGAGATATGACGGTTCCATTGCTTACAGAAGGCATTGTCTGATTTGTTGTAGAGAACTCATTTTGCTTGGAGTCAACCAATGGCACCATGTTGTTTCCATTCTTCAAAACCTGTATTAAATTTGAAGAGTTGGGCCGTGGTGAGGTCGGCTTTTCTGAAAAGTAAACTGATTAGAAATAGGAATAAGTCGAAATTTTACGTTTGACTCTTCTGTCAAAAAATATAAACAGTACTTCTGCTATTAAACTAAAGGATGGAGAGAGCATCAAATTATGAGTAGTAAAGTAACTAGAGAATGAGTCAGAATGGAAAGGATGAATAGTATAAGAAACGCTGTGCAGAAAGCAACCGTTCTGGAGCTTGTATAAACAAAAGAATGCAACCGCCCTACGCCTAGAGCAATTCTGATGAGAATGCAACCATGCTGTGTGAACTTGAATGAATGCAACCGTTCAGTACGGATGTGTTAGAATGCAAAAGTTCAACTCGAGATCTTTGGAACACAACTGTCAAAAATTTGAAACAACCTCAAAAACTGTTTGAAAATAGTAAGAATTGCTATCAAGAGGAAAACGAGAGTCTCTCTACCAAATTATGAAAAGCCAAAAAATTACCGTTTTCTTGTTGTGGAGAAACGCAACAGCATAATGTCTGCATAATCCGTCCCCATCGTGGTTTCTGTCGTCCACTTCTCTGCTTTTCACCTGTAACAATATTCAATGAGAAGATTAAAGATGAAGGCATATAAGATTTCTTTTTTTTCATTGTGATAACAACGAAGTTTTGAGTACATGCCCTTTATTATTCGAGGAATTTCGAGTCACAGCCAATATTTGGAATGCAAAGAAAAATATTTTTTATGCAATTTCAACGTTCTCTCATACCCTGCTCTTATTTTTGCTGCAAACGATGAAGACGAAAAAATCTAAAGGACGCCAAAACAGTTGCTCGATTTTCATTTTCCCAAACTATTTCGTTTTACTACAAGTCATGACTTATCAACAACTTACGCTTTGTCGAAGGAGATGCTCCGATGGCTATATTCAGCAAATTTGTTCCTTTAGCAACTGGTTGACTACCATACTCCGGTCCAACTATTAAAGGATGACTACGATAGACACTATCGTAAGGAGAAGTTACCGGAGGGCTAGTAGACCGGGGAACTGACCAAATGATATCGTTTGGGGTTTCTCGAGGAACCGAGAAGATTGGACTATCATGTACAGTTCCGTTAGAGCGAGGTAGTGCACCTTTGTGAATGTTGTTGTTCAATGCGGACGTATTCGAAGACGAACTGGCGGTAGAGGAGGTACTACCATTTTGAAGAGGTTCCGTTTTGGAAGATACTAAACGGGCACGTGGCATCGTCATAGGACGATTTGGGTAGATAGGTGTACATGCGGCATTATTAGAATACGACTGTTGTACAGTTGGAGGTAATGTCAAAGGGAACGGAGCAGGACGTCTTTGTTGTGATGTTGGAGTTCCAAGAACATTTTCAATGCCCGAAACTGTAACATTAGGTCGCCCTGTTCTGACATTGTTGGGAGCCATGGTAGATTGTTGTTGGTTTGACCAAAAGTATGTGACACCTGACTGGTGATCCTCTCCCTTCTGCCAATAATCAAGACTGTTCCGAGGACCAAGAGGGCTTCGTCGCTGATTGGCAGGTTGAATCTGTTTAGAAGATATGATGTGTCGTCTCCTGTCATCAACGTAAGTCATAATATCGAGTATTATAGAAAAGTGGATAAATATAGGATACGTGGGGCTGTCTGGACGATTTTCACGTTTTCCACTTTCTAGCTGAACAAATCAGAAATAACTCCTTGTCGTTATCAAACAGGCAAACAACCGCGAACTAAAGACTAGTCTGCGTGAGCCTCAGCGCGATTTTCCTTCTGCTTCCAATACCTGTCGACAGGTCTACGTGAAATTCCTGTTTTAAAGCGACAGAGCAATTGGAATGAAGAGCCTGACTTGCGAACCAAGACGAGTCAGGTCGGGGGGCAAGCCACTGAACACGTTGCGGTTTAGAGAGAGCTTTCGCCGTTGACTGGAATCACAAAAGAACTATGAATGAAACGGTTGAATGAGAAAAAAAAGGAAAAAAAGAAATCATGTAAGCAACAGTCGCAAAATCTATTTAAAACTGAGTATTGAAATGAGTAATAGGGAATGATGTAATTCACAGAAGAAGCAAACATTTCAGTCACATGATGAAAGGCTTACTCTCAAGAATTTGGCAGAAGATGATCAGAACAAACGCACAATGTCACAGATTGGTATCGGGTTATGCTCTGACAGGAAGACAACTTGTAAAAATAATTTTTCATAAAATCAAGATAAAAGTCTAACAAATGAAGTTCATACACCAAAGTGAAGAAGTGATAGAATCGAGATATCTCAAATTACTTCTAAAAAACGATGTGCATTGAGTTTCATTATTCTGAAATACTCTAGAGATATTCAGCAAATTCTGGCAGTTTTTGATATTCAAAAGAAAAAACATCTGAGAGTGTGGGTTTTTGAGATTACTCATTCCCACATCAAGAAACATCATAGAGAAAACAAGTATTGATGAGGGTGGCGAATTCATGTTCGATTTAATCATTCTATAAGAACTTAATTCATAGAATAAAAAAATATTTGCGGCAAAAATATAACAGAGTACCATGACCCAGAGCTGCTTACTACGAATAATAGGATTAGTTGAAATGAAAAAAATGAAAATCATGTTGAATATAATTAAAAAATAGTTTTTGTGCTGGAAAAAGAGAGTTCAATTCCTTCTCTGGTAAGTTAACAAGAACTCAATGATCAGTAACTATTTCTTGACAACGAAGATAATTTGTTTCGAATGCCAAAAACATTAAGTTCTCAATGGACCATTCTTTTTGTTACATACAAACTGAATGGAAAAGTTGGAAATGACTTTTTGACAATCCGTTCTCTGGAGATTATGCTAGGAAATAAGATTCAAAGGAAAACGTGTCATCTTTCTCTCCCTCTCTCTGTCTCTTTCTCTCTCTCTCTCTCTCTCTGATCACTCTCAAAATAGGCAGTCTTAACGTATATGGAGTTAATGTATTATTAATCTTAATATATGTAGAATCATAAATGATTATGGCGAGTAAGGCTATCACAGGATGGAATCACGAGGTGAAAATTCAATCCAAACATTTAATTGAATGAACTAAGATTTTCTGTTTTTCCAGCTAACTCAACGGGAGATATTCAGAATGAACGAACATATGACAAGCACTTCTTCTAACAGCGTGGAGCAAAAGGGTCGAACATAACTGCAGGAGTGATCGAAAACAACAAGTCTATGTTCTATAATATGACAGAGAAATGGTGGCAAATCGAAAAAATGAAACAAAAGTTCAAAATTCGACATCTAAGGCTTACTTCACTTAAAGTTGATTTGAAATAGAAAATATGAATGAGTTTAAAGTGAGAGCTAAAAATAAAATCAAAGATCTTTAACAATCAGATCTCTGTCAAAGATCTAAGGAACTAAATGTATATTCACCGAAAATAGAAGGACATACGAGCAATATCGCAAAACAACATCAGAGGGGTGATAGCATTCTTTATACTCTGAATATTAAAACTCAACAGAACATCGTCAAATTGAATAGTGGCAAAGGCAATGCACTAACATTAAGATTACTCATAAAATGCAAGAAAAAAGGAATAAAACTGACAACCATCAAGTAAATGATTCTGACTTTAACACCATCTGCTCAAGGAACCAGATGAAAAGAAAACATTTAAAATAGTTGGCGAAAAAAAGTTAAATCTCAATAGGAAATTAGGAACGACAGGAAGGGAAATGGCTAATTATCGCTACGATTCTGGGTCCATTCGCTTTTTTTTGTGAACAATAAAAGTGAGAAAATCGAATTGAGCGAAAAGCTCGAGAATTTAAATTGCGGTCAACATCGAAAAAGATAGTAAAAAAATGTTTTTTTTAAATAGCTCAAACTCATAGAGGAAGCAGTAGGTATCGACAGCATAAAAAAACATGAGAAATACGACTATGCTGTAGACTTTTGTCTCCGCCTGATTCTTCTATCTCAGTTGCTCTATATCTCTCTTTTCACGAAACTTCAACTCTGCTTGAGATAAAGCACAGCGATTCCAGACGGAAAAGAGAAACTAACAGGCGGTGTCATCGAAGATTTTGATGATTGGGAGGCTTGAAAGAAAGATTTGGAAAACTGATGATAGAACAACTGATGAAAAAAGAACCACAATTGCTAGAACGTGGGCTTCGTCATGTCAGGAATCAGAGCTTGAATGATCAAATTGATCAACTTCTCAATTTTTCCCTAAAATTAAAGGAGCGAAGCAGATGTGCTGAGAAAAGATAGAATTAAAAGAAAAGGGCAAATTGAGTGAAACTTCTTATGTGATAGAACGCGAAAAGGGACAAAAACATCAATATAAAGTTATAAACGCATCCTCGCTTGTTTGGGAAACGAAAGCGAAGCGGACAAAAGAACATACTACAGCCAAATGAACAAAAGCATTCCGTTTGAGAAAAGGTGTTATGATATCAATAACAATTTTGAAACCAACTGGATAGGGCATTTCAAATCGAATTGTCATATTACTGTTGAAAAAAATTTCCAAAATATTAGTTTCAAAAACGAATTGTCGGGCACAAGTAACTATAAGCAACAACGTGACGTAGAGAAGAAGCGGCTAAGTTGATAACAAACCAATACATTTAGTTTTCTAAAATCAAGTAATGAGAGTGTTATGGATGAATGAAAGGATAATATTCCAAAAAATTCAGCTGATGCTGCAAACGTTTTGGTCAATTCATCATTCGAAGCATGCCAAATGGATAACAAAAATAGAGCTTGAAACAGAAGATATGTTTTGCAACTTCATCTTCGTAGATAACAAAAACCCTTTTCAAAGTTTCAAGTTCTTATTCTAGACTAGCAGAACTATTTACTTAATTGCGTAGTCTCACAAAAGTGAAATGAGTCATTTCGGAGGAAGATTATGATATTGGAAAAATGGTTGGCACAAGTTTTAGAGAAACTAAATCCCGAAGGGAAAAACGTCATTAGTCGTCTTTTGGACGACAGATTTTCATTCAATGCCAAAAAATAATTGTTGAAATGAACAAAATGGTGGTTGAAACAGAAATTGTAGACTCGCGCAAACAGATATTTTGATATCAAGTGTTGATATTATTAATACAAGCTTATGCTAACACGAGAAACATGGCACAAAAAGAGAAAAAGACAAAGAATGCGATTTTTCGAAACTTGAGATACATGGTATTTTCAAAAACAACACAGACGAAATTCTCCTATATTGTTTGAATAATGCATTGCTTGAAATCACTGATGTGGTGAATCGGGAAGAGATTTCTGGCAAGAAGAATTCGAAAGGAGCACATTTTTCTGCTAATCGTTCGATTCAAGAAAAGAGAAAAAATCTGAACAGTAAGTTAGAAACGTCGGTTGTCTTTGGAAATGGAGATAGAACGGCGCCAGAGGGAATCAGAGAAAAATGACGAAAAATACGGAACATAATCCGGCAATTGGCAAACAAAACAACCAGAAGCACGCGCAGCATAACTAGTCGTTCGACATGGCCTCGGCCAGCTTGAAGTCAGCTTTATTCACAAGGTTTGTTAAGCTTGAAGCGAAAAAAACGTGGTGAATCAACCGTGTTGCATAACTACAGCTTAGAAACTTTCAAAGAAAGAGAAAACAACAAAAAAAATAAAAGAACTGAAGAGGATTATATTAGCAATTCATCTCGAATTTCGCAAAATATAATAACCAGCGTTTTTCTTGGTTTGAATGTACACAAGAAATGAAAAACGTGCAAGGATTTCATACATTCATAATCCGAAAAACCTAAACATAGATAATGTCTATTTATGGATAGCTTCATCATAATCGAAAAATATTATATTCGACAAAACCTAGATCTATCTGGTTTTTTCAAGCTCTTATATGGACATTCGGACAGTGTAAATATCACTTCCCCTCATCATAAACAATATGTATAGAGGATATTCCTTCCTTACTCAAAACAGTTTGAGAGACTACAGACTATTGGGCTCTATAGTTTGCAAGGTAATAATAGTGTAGTTCGACATTTACATCTATATATGAGTCGGTACTGAAGGGCAGAAAAAGGAAAACAGTTAAACACGAGCTCTTTAGCAGAAATTGTTGTTGGCCAAGCCAAGAAGAAAAAACAAAATCGAGAAAGGATAGTCACTAATGGAATTTGAGGGAATAGATGGGGGTGACTAGAGTTGACTCTTCACCAGTTACATCACCAAAGAATTTCTGTGAAAAATATATAAATGCATGAAGAAAGCTCGTAAACTTTGGAAAACTCAGATTTTCTTTCAGAATTCTAAAAAAGAGAATTCAAAGCTAATTTTTCTATCGTTGAATAGCACCTAAGAAACACAAGCACAAGTACATCAATCAAAAAGAAAAACGAGGCAAACATGAGCTCAGTTTGGAAGTGTGTATGCATTCATTTCGTAAATCTAATAAATCTTTCATCAAATTGTCAAAGAAAATTAATAAAACTCAGAAGGAGTAATACTACTTCATAGATTCGACCAAGAAATTCCACTTTGTGGGCGAATAATGAAAAGCTGTCAGTATCATAACAACAAAAAATGAAAACTGGTAACATCTTGGATAAGCCTGATTTTCGATCCTCAAGTG